CGGAGTGGCGGGCGCGGGCGCAGTCCCTCGCCGTCCCCGCGCAGCAGGGCCAAGGTGGCCAGGCGGCGAGCGGCCAGCCAGCTGCTGCCTGACGGCCCCGCGGCAGGAGGAGAGGAGGGGCCCGCGGGCGGCGGCGGCGGGCCTGGGCCGCGGCGCCGCGCGCGTGAGCGCAGCAGCTCGCCGAGGCGGGACGCCCTGGCGCCCCCCTCGCGGTCGCCCAGGCGGGCGGCCAAGGTGGCCAGGCAGCAGGAGGACGGCCAGCGCCGTGATGCGGGCCCTGCCGAGGTAGGAAACGAGGCTGCCGAGGGCGGCGGTGGCGGCGGACCGCCCCCGCACCGCGTGGCCAAGGTTGACAGGCAGTAGGGGGAGTGCCAGCCGCCTGCAGGCGAACCTGCTGCTCGATGCGAAGCAGGGGCTGCGGGCGGCAACGCCGAGGCCTGGGAGGCCAGGATACAGGAGGTGAGCCTGCCGCCTGCAGGTGGCTCTGCTGCTCGATGCGAGGCAGGGGCTGCGGGCGGCAGCGGCGGCTGGCCGAGGCCACGGCGCCGCGCGTGGGACCGCAGCAGCTCGCCAGGCTGCCGCGGGCGGCGCGGGGTGAGGCCTGCCCGATGGCCTCGGGCGCGCAGCAGCGCCGAGGTGTCGGCGCGCGCGGGGGCGCGCGCTAGGGTGACCGTGACTCGACACGGTCGCCTTACCCCGCGGGCATCATCCTCCGCCTCCTCCTCCTGCCTCATCCGTAGCCTCGATGGCTCCGATAGCGCCGTGCGCGAGATCCGCCTCCTCCCCATCCGTCCTCCTCCCTCCTCCCTCCTCCTTCCCTCCTCCCTTCTCCCTCCTCCCCTCTCCCGGGAGCGTCACAAGGAGGCCCTCCGAGGATAATTTCACGACAATAAGGGCGCCGACACGATGAACAGACACCACGTCGGAACTCTGGGAACGGAGTCGAAGACGAAATCTCGAATAACTTAGTCTTCGATGTTCGGGGCATTTTTCTGACCACCTGCGAGCCTTGTGGGAACTTCCGAGAGCCTCAGGGGTGGACGTGTGGCGCAAGAACACGAGTGGAGGAGGAGACAACACGACTCTCCACGGAGTGAACTGCACCCGATTGGTTTCTACCCCCGCGAGAGGCGTCACAGGGTATTTTATTTGTGTGTATTTATTTGTGTGTCCTGGGGCCCCTTCAGTCCACCCGCGCGGCCAGGTGAAGCAAGGTTCCAACGTCGCAGTGGAGGCCATGCCAAGACACGCCCTGCTCGCCTCCAGGGTGCCTTGGTTTTCCTGGAAGTCGATGGTTTTGCTGCAGGGCGCGTGGCGTTCCCCTGCCAGAAGTCAGTGGGCGCCCTGGGCTCTCAGGGCCGGGCGGCTTGCGGAAGGTCTCTTGCGGCCGAGCCCCCACGCTGCACCCTTGCTTCGGAGGGCGTGCCCGTGGACTCTAGGCCTCCCAGATGGGGTCCGAGCAGATGGGGTCGGAGGATCGCGCCGCACCAGCGATGCATCGGCGATGCGGCTCGATGTGGCACCGGATCTGCTTCACGTCGACGTCGCCGATGCATCGCCCACGTCGGCGATGCATCGCCAGTGCATCGCCGATGCGTCGCCCATACATCGCCGATGCATCGCCGATGTATCGGCGATGCGGCGCGATCCGCCGACCCCATCTACTCCGACCCCATCTAGGGGGCCTCTATGGACGGAAGCGTTCCCTGGCATAGATCCCCCGCCCACTCCCCGTGGATGGGTAGGAGGACATGCCCGACCGAAATTTTCTCCCCAGGGAAGCCCGAGCAGCCTCCAGAGCCCCACTCGCGAGGCCCAGAGGGCCCAGGGGGCCCTTCGAAGGGCGCTGGAAGCTGGCCTTCTGGGGAGTGCTCTTGGAGGGTTCTTGGGCTGTCTGGGGGCCATCTTGTGTGTCTTGGAGCGACCTTGTGGTGTCCCGGGCACCTCTTGGACCATTTTGGGGGCCTCTTGGGGGCTTTTTGGCCCTTCTTGGCGCTTTATGGGGGGGGGTGCACCTTGCGCCCGGGACACCTCCAGCCGCCCCCGACTTGGGCCGAGCTCGTTTCGCGTTCCCCCCCCCCGAGCAGTGTCACGGCCTCTCCCTCGGGTGACAGCCGCTCATGGCGCAAGGGGAGGCGCTCCAGAAAGGGCCTCCCCTTCGAGGATCGAAGGAGTCAGGAGGAGGAGGAGGAGGAGGAGGAGGAGGAGGAGGAGGAGGAGGAGGAGGAGGAGGAGGAGGAGGGAGGAGGAGGAGGAGGAGGAGGAGGAGGAGGAGGAGGAGGAGGAGGAGGGGGAGGAGGACGGAGCAGGACGAGGACGAGACGAGGACGAGGGAGGAGGAGGAGAGGAGGAGGAGGAGGGAGGAGGAGGAGGTGAGGGAGGAGGACGAGGAGAGGAGGAGGAGGAGGAGGAAGGAAAAGGAGGAGGAGGGGGGGAGGAGGCGGAGGAGGAGGAGGAGGAGGAGGAGGAGGAGGATGAGGAGGAGGAGGAGGAGGAGGTG